CGAACAGCAAGCAAAATCTTTTGATGCAAAAGGAAACAAAACTACCAGTTAGTACAGTTGGTACTGGTTTTTGCGACGCATCTCATAGGGCATCTGGCGAAAAAGAATATGGACGGCACAATTGCTTCCAACGTCAACGTCAATGACGAGTCACCAACTTGAATGAGTCATTCCATGGTCCGCACCGGACGTCAACCTCGTTCAGCACCCCAATCACCCTCAAATGGATGCGTCGATTCTAGGCCTGTACCGCCGAAAGGGGAACCATCGTGAACGGGTCAGATTCCCTCTAGGATGGGACAGATTTGCTTCATGTTAGTGGTTCAGAGCTGGCACGCTAGCCACCTTTCTAGGAGTTATGACGGAAATACCAGGATACCGGGCCGAACGAGAAACACGTGGGGGAGAAACCAATCGCCGAAAAGGCAAGCTTTTTTTTAGATGATTCCCTCCACCCCGTCATACCGTCGCCGCAACCACCGTTGGTAAAAGTGCAGGTGGTTTGTGGCAAAAAAAGCAGCATATAGGACCCAGCTGACCAATGCTCTCAAGCTCTGGCAGAAAAGTGGCTACAACCCGGAGTCAAGGGCGATAATTCGCGCCCGTGCTGCAAACCGGGTGCGTAGCATTGAAACAGACCCGTTCCGTTGGGTACCTTCCACGAAATCGTTCAGCTGAGACGACGGCCCGGTTTATCTTCGTCTCTTCGTGTTCAGCTGACTGGTGAGATTTAGATCTTCGTCATGGGCGATTGCAGCAGCCTCTTACGAACAGTGTCTTGGACTGTTCCAAAAAACACTGGGTGTAAGGAATAGCCTCACCATCACTAACCTCTTACGAAGTGTCTTGGACTGTTCCAAAAAACACTGGGTGTAAGGAATAGCCTCACCATCACTAACCTCTTACGAACAGTGTCTTGGACTGTTCCAAAAAACACTGGGTGTAAGGAATAGCCTCACCATCACTAACTTATCAAAAATATTTTCCTCGGGGACAACGACCAACTCCTTCCGTTTTCCCGTGAGGGGTTGCAAGGGTCGAAGGCTTGCTGCTCCGAATGATTTGAAGAAGTGATTATTTATGCCGCATATCATGATCTGCTGTGGAAACTGCCACAAGCCGAGTTCTTCCTCTTCTATTCGATGTAGACTGAGGCTGAAGGGCATCGGCAGGCTCCGCTCCAGCACGCGATCTGAGAAAATTGCTTTGCCGCTACACTAGTCTAGACTATGTACTGTACACTCGTGCTTCACACGGCATGTTCCTTGCGTCAGGACCTCCCGCCAACAGAAATCTTCGGGTTTGACCAGTCCTGGCGAAAGTTTGTAATTCAAACCCGCGGTAAATCAAGTCCATGTCGCAGAAACAGAAGCGGCACAAAGGCCTTTCTACAGTAGATTCGACTTTCAAGATCATTCCGAGAGGTCAACTTCTCCGCGCCTTCCCGTTCGCAGGGGGTCCAGCGTCCAGCATCAGGGCTGGGAGTCGGTGGTGTGTGCGTCGAGACCCCACGCGTTCTTCAGACGTATGTAGTGTCATCCCGCCCAAAATCGGAGGTTTGAACCACCTGTCAACTCATCCCGCCTACTACGACTTCCCCGTCTCCCCAAATTTTGTGCCTCCAGTACACCCCACAAACACACAAGATCGTCTCGGTGGTTGCCCTTATGGACAGCCAGGAAGAGGCCGCGCCCCTTTTACAGGTACGGTACCTCCATGTACGGTGGAGGCAGCGAAGAAGACAAGAAGCAAGCTTGTTGCTGCTACTGGTTGGAGGCTCGACACGTGGTGCACCATACTATGGAAACTCGCACAACACGGTTGGATCGTTTCGTTTCGCGTTGTATGCAGAATACGTACATTGGTGAAATCTTCCTGCTGCAGTGAAAGCATACTGCCGCTTAACACCTTCTCGCCAACGTTTTATTGCCGCTGCCGTCGTCGCTTGCTCTACGTGCCTGTGTGCCGTATTTGTGCTTGGTCGCGGCTGTGAATAATCAGAGAGCGGCGAGGAGTATGCTCGCGAGGAAGATGTTCCGTAAGGTGCTGAAGAACCGTGCTAGGGACATGAGGTACGGGGAAAAGGCAAAGCAAGGAGTGGAATACTGGTCGGTATGTAATTGGTATGAAGTAGGCTTGTCGATATCGCTTTCCACGGGGCTACGTGCCCAAGATGGTTTGGAGGCAATCAGTCATCTCTAGCGTCCTTGTGCACAGTACAGAGTCAAGAAGCCGCCAGGCGCGACTGCCTGGGGTTTTGTGAAGGCTCACTCTGGCTGAGCGTGTGATGCGACAAGCAACGCCTGCTAGATATTCCCCCGTCATACTTCCCCTTCTCCTTTATTCCAGCTGGTGGTATGCTTACCTCGATGGAATGATCGATGATCGTCTTGGTTCAGCTTAGAAGTTCTGACGCCCCGGGTGTCTTGGGCCGGGCCCTACACGGGTGTTGTGATGCCAGCGAATACTCATTTTTTGTTGTATGAATGAAATTCACAACACATTGAAACAATCCAGGCGACAAAGGAAGGCGGCGGCGATTTGCCTGCAGTGCCAGCTGCGACGGTTTTTCGCTCGGCGAGAGTTGGACAGACGGATCTCACATGCCGCCCAGAGGATCAGGGTAAGTCAACTCGGAAAGCAGCGGCGGCAGTCACTACCCGCCCTATCGTTCCTGCTACTGCAGGTGGTGGGGAATTTCGTTACTGACGAGTTAGTCAACAAAGGTATCTCGGAACGACATGTGCGTTCATGTGGCGAAGTCTCACCAGGCATTCATCGGGAACTTTCACGGAACCTAACGCGAATGCCATGGAGTATCGCGACGCCCCATTAAAGCCTGATGGAGCCCTATTGGCTTCTCGCGAACCTCTCTGAAACCCTTTCACCAACTTGTCTGTCTGGGGTATTCATGGGTTGACACATTGTTGACCAGGCTACGAGTGCGAACGAATTTATCCTTTCGCTACTTCAGAATGTGGTGTCTTGCTCGCATCCATGCATTCACCTCTGAAACTGTCACGACGACATCCCTCTATCTCCACGTTTTGGTGTCCGACCCTACTGTAGAACAGAACGGCATCGATATGTCGATATTCATAGGGTATTTCGCTGGAGGAAATCATTCTTGGAGACACCAATTCTGGCGAGGTAACATTCATGTTTTGAGCGGTCCCCCTAATGCTTGTTGTCATCTACGCCTAGACAATTCTGGTGCCATGGTACTTCCCGGCAATTTTCGCATATGACAACTCCCGCTTGAAACGCATGTGTCCGCGCTCCAATGGCACCCCTTGCTGCAATTCCACGCGTCGGTGACCCAATTTGAGGATAACACATCTCCCACTCGACTAGTTGCTGGGTCCATGCTGACCCCTGGAAAAAACGCTATTGGAACACGGATGTGCGGTGTCTAGGCCGCGACGTTCATTCAGCGCGTGTACAGGACCCGGGCGCTTCAGTGGAGCTACGCGGTGAAGAGGGCTCAGCTTGCGCACGAAAGGAAGATAGCTAAGGCCAAACTCTGCTCCTCAATTAAGCTCCAGGTGGACCTAGAGCAGGCCTCCCTCTTTGCAAAGGGAAAAATTGCCTAGCTACTGAATGCACCCCCCGGAGTTCAAGTCTGGAAAACTATTGGGCTCAACATAGCTACTTCGTTTTCTCCTTGTGCTGGCGAAACCTAACATAGCTCGCCTCGTCAACATCATATCGACCGTATTCTCGAAGAACTCCTCATTTCCTCTTGAGCTCAATAAAAATCTCTCGTGGACCCACTACCTAAACTGGTGTCGAACGAAGGGCACAGGAGATTTCAAGTAAGCCTACATGTATGTAGATTTTTTGTCGCCGTTGGTGCTTTCTCTGCCTTCTGTCCGACGTTCCCGACAATCGAAAACATCCACTTGCAATCGCCCCTGTTGGTTTTGCTTCGTTGTTCAGGCAACTTGGCGGATGAAGCAAGCGCGTTACGAAGCTGTTGTACGCCGACGTGCGGTATCTGACACTCAGCGCTCCACAAGGGGTTTCCTCGGCAGGAAGCGTGCCGCAGAAAGAAAACACGCGTTGGTCACGAGAATACAGGTAACCGCCATGGCCCCAGCTGCCCGTGGCTCATTCATGCAGCTATGATCGTTTCTGTCAACTCCATGTTTTTGTGGGCCGTCAACTCCACCATGTGTTTGTGGGCCACTGTTTCGCTGCACCACGCCAACGCCACGCAATTGAAACCATGTGACCGGTATTGCAGCCGTTTTGAAATACTATCATTCCTCACCCTGCCTTGCTATCACGTCGGTGCCCGTGGTCTCTGACTGCCGTGGTGTGAGAGAGCAGAGGCAGTACAGGCGACACCGGGAGCGAATGGTGATTCTGACTGCCCTCTTGGCCATGCGAGCTTCCAGGAAGAAGAAGGACGAAAAGGCTAGAGAAGTCGAGCGACGGTTCAGGTAGGCCCCAACCAGCAGTGAAGGCGTGCAATGCAGTCGTGCGGACACCTCCTGGTGAATGCGCTGTTGTACACGAAGTGAAGCCTCTCTTGATGTGTTGCTATTAGAGTGAACGAAGGTGAAACCCACGTTGTGAAACGATAAAGCATTAACAGCAGTATCTTCATAGCAGTTTACACCGTTCAATATCTGAACCACGTCGCAGTTTCTGGAAGACAGATCCCGCCCGGTACCCAGCGATCGCACCGTAAGCGTCTAGAGGTGACGGAGCTTGTTCGAGAATAACGGTAATATGGAATCTTACCTTCTGTGTGCGCCGACGCTGTACGCCAATGAGCAGAGCCCTGGAGGAACAAAGGCTTGGCAACACCAGTGGCAGTGAGGTCATCGCCACTCCCTTAGACAAACGGAGAGCGGAGAGGGCACACAAGAGGCTCCTTCGCAGGTACGCACACGAGTAGCAATAAATTGCAACCCAGGTTCGCGAGATAACAATACCGGTTTCACATGCATGAGGTCATCCCTGGTTCATAGGGGACTTTCAAACTCCATTGCATGATGCGCCTTGTCAGAATTAAAGCCAAGGGCAGCAGCGTTGTGAGGGCGAGAAGGTTGGCACTGCAAAAAGCCGGCAAGCCTTCATCAGCCTCCCAACCAACACGCGACATCCCTCCAACTCGGAGCTTGTCCCCTCCTACATCTCGGCGTGCTTCAGCCTTCTTCACCGCGCCGCTCCTCCAATCCGACACCTGCAATGAAATAAATCGTCGTCAGTCGACTTCCGATGAGGAAGAAGCAGGCATCCGTCGAATATCTCCGAAGGGCGCCCACGTCACCGACCAATCAGCAGAGGCCGTTCTGTCGGTCGACGTAGCTTGTACGTTTTCTGCCCCCGGCGCATCAGCATATCCGGCCGAACAAGAAACTCCTCTTTCCAGCGGCTCTACACCAAGACTCGTCGAAGACGCCACTTCGTCGCCTTCTTCCCACCCTTCGACGACCACAGCAACACCAGCCTCAAACCGCCCGTCATTTGGTGCTTCTATCAAGCCAAAGACCGGAGCTCGTGGAAGGTCCCTTTGCACAACCAAGCTCCAAAGAAGCCATACGTCGCCACCACGTCGCCACCACACTCCTTCATCGCCGGCTCTCCAGGCAGCGCTGAAGTGCGCACGAGGGGCCGGTGGCCGCTTGGGCACTCCTCTCGGCAGCCCATTCCCAGCACCGGGGGAAGACTGGGCAGCGGGTCGGGCCGCATCGGCGGCGGCCAGTGCCGCAGCCAGGTCAGTTCACCTGTCGGAAAGGGCGTTCGAGCCGTCTGCTCCGGGTTCTCGGTTCTTCCCACCGTTCGGACATACAGACGCCGCATCCGATGGGGCACTCTGTGCGCCTGTGGTCTTCGAAATGGTCCAGGACGCCGCGGACGATGAGGAAGATGCTGACGGCGCTGACAACGACGCAGCAGGCAGGGTCAGAGGTTGGCACGGCCTGACATTGTACAGGTATGATTCAAGAGCGAAGAACAAAAGGCACTTCCTGTTACAAGAGGGCCTCGAGTGAATGAGCATGTGCTTCTTTTGGACGCCAAGGTTGATGGTTTGCTACAGTACTTCTTGCTCGCTCAGCGAGATGCTTGCCAATCGCCTCTGCAATTCCCCACCCCCGTGGAACTGCGCTGATCTGCACGGCAGGTCTTTGCCGAATTCATCGCTCTGACAAATAACGTTCTCGTTGGAAATGCTTACGTTGCAGGTCTCCTGGCGTCGACCAGCGGTCAGCAGTCTTCCAGCAAGCTCTTCAGCTAGAAACTATCGCCTTCAGCCCAGACGTCCAAACCCCACCACGCTCAACACCACCGGAGTCCCCATGCCGGGGTTTAGGTTCAAGTCGCATGTACGACGCGAGCAGCGTAAGGCCCCAGCCAGCGACGGCTTTCTGCCATAGGCAATCCGCAAGTTGCAGAGCTCTTGCATGTCGCGACCAAGAACGTATAGGACTCGGCATGAGCAGTTTGCCAGAGAGAGGGGCTGGTCGTCAAAAGCGTCGAACAGATATTGCGAGCAAGCCGCGTCCTCGGCCGTGGGACGAATTGGAGTCTTTAGCACGCACGCCACGAGTAGAAACAGAACAAGAACAACAAGTGAGGGTTGTAGGGGGCACATACTTCGCGACTCCTCCTGAGCTACATCGTTATGGAGTCGTGAAGTCGACTCCCTCTCCACCGCAGTTTACGACAACCAAGCCTGATGGGTCTATATCGGTGACGCCAGCGCCATTGCACGTCGCCTCGGCAGCTTCAACCCTGTTCGACAGTGGAGACATGATCATGGTGGCGAGATTGCTCGCTCACCCGGAGTGCTCGCTGAAGGTATAAGCTATTCAATAATTCGTGACGAAACGAACCAATATGCGGTTTGTCTCTAGGTGTGGAAAATCATGCGGCATCCCGTCCCCTTTGGAATGGTACGCCTCCAACTCCTCATGCCGAGTATGGTGCGCTCCACAGGTCGCAAGTCACTTTTGCGAACAACTCTCCGGATATTCACAATCGTGCTCCCCTGCGTTCGTTGTACTCGGCGGCCCTGACGTCGCCAATACATGTGCCAGGGCTTAGTACTGCACCGAGCGAAACTGGACACGCCGCCAGGCCGGGAGGCCCTCTTGAAGTGCTTGGAGCTCAACAAATTGTGCCGGCTCGCCCTAGGGGGATGCGTCTGGTTTGATCACGCCTTGAGAACAGACAAGTCCAGGCAGTACGAGTGGCTCACTGGCAGGTGGTGGGAGAAGGTCTGCGATACGATTAGGACGAACGCGTTTCGACTGAGGGAAGTGGTGGTGGAGGGACTTGAAAGAGGTAATGAATCACACTAAGTAGCGAAGGATTAGTGGGAACGCCGCCGAAGACCTGACACAGCTGCTAGCAAAACCTGGAGCGAGTTTCATTGCATGATAAGGCAAACGATTGCTCAACTCAGCCGCAGTAGATCACTACTGCTCCAGGACCACCAAGTACCGATAACTGCGAGTTCGCCCATGTGACTACCCTGTCGTGGTGCATGAAGGGCAGCAACTCCGTAAAGAGGAGGATGTCTGCGTGTCCTTAATGCATGCATGCACGCAGGAGGAGATGCCCTCGGGACAGGAATTGGAACCATGCTGGGTGACTACTTCGCAAAACGATTCGGGAGATTGGCGTCGGTATCATTGGTTCGATGCGGTATATCCGACCAAGGAGCAACGGCCGTGGCGAGGGGTATCTGGGCCTCGAGCGGTCTAACCCACGTTGACTTATCAGGTTTGATCTCAGAAACACCAAGTATCCGGGGCCATCTGGTGGCTCGATACATGATGTAAATTGGTAGTGCTCGGCATGTTTGGCGTCTAGGTCGGTGTCTGGTATCATTAGATGTTTGAATGCTTTACGTGAAGGTGAACATGCAAGATCCAAGGCATGTAGTGTAGGAATTTGCCAAGCTATGTGCATATAATAGTACTTTTTACAGGATTCCAACATACTCTAGCCAGGTTGGGAGCCATGGGTTCACACGATCTAGCCATTATGGTGCTCTACACCCCTAAGGGAAACCAATCCTGTCACCTCTCGTCAAATGGCATCAACTCTCCTGCCGTTGTCAGCGAACGCGATCTCCGACGTCGGGGTGGAAGCGTTAGCGAAAGCCCTTGTCGGAGACTACCCACTAGATTTGGACGAGGGGGAAGAAGGTGTGAGCGGAAGTCACGGAGAGCCATTTCGCAGCCACCGACCTCCCACGATCAAGACCCTTGACCTCGGACAAGTGAGAAATGTCTCGGGCTGTTTGGGTTCAACCCTCGCTGACTTGACTCTGGCAGTGACGCGACTGGCGTCGCGCCTATTTTTCCTGACGCGGAGTACGGCACGCCCCATCGACCCATTGTGATATAACATACGAATAACACTACCACCCTACGCGGCGAATCTCTGTGCTTCGGTATGAAGGTTGAATGAAGTCCGCCATATATCCTTCCATCTTCGTCTCTAGGAATCCGCGCACGCGATAAACAACAACAAGCATCCTCCCCTATCCCCTCTCAAATTGCTAGTTCTTGCCTTTGATAATGAAGAGCTTTGCCTCCGACGATGGTCAATTCGTGTCAACCAGAACCGAATAACGGACCCAGGAGGAACAATGCTTGGAGCCGCCCTGCCCAGGAGTGTCTCTCTAGAGTCCATCACTTTGTCGTACAACTTCATGATGGAGGAAGCAGCCCAGGCCTTGCTCAGCGCGGCAGCATCAAGCCGGCCTACACTCAAGGAGGTTCATTGCGAGGGCAACCTCTTCGATGAAGAGTGAGCAACATTAGAAAGCGAAAGGCGTGCTCCGGTTCATGATCTCCGCAACGATAGACGTCTAGTACACACGGGTCGGGTGTCGGTGATGTTGGGTTCTGATGCCCTCGGGGGTTGGTCGTTAGTATTGCACCATAATGCGACGCCCACATTCCGAATTTGGTGCGAGTGACGCCTACTGTAGTTATTTTTCCCTCCACACGCATCTGTTTTTCCTTTGGCCCAATCCCGTGGCATTTTCTCTTGTTCTTTGACCAACGGAATGGATGGACAAATGGGCTTGTTCACTCGACCACGTTGCCGGAACCAATCAGATCGATACCATCACACATGCGTAACCCATTCAACGTACATGCTTATTTTAGGATTGGTGGGACTTCATGTGGGATGGATTTGTGTGAGGTGACTTGACTTGTGAACACCCCCAGAACTTCTTCTCGGAACGATGAGAGGATACAGTCAGAGACTATGTTTTCTGCGAATAGGTGGGAACGGGCGGCAAGATAGGTGTCAACTTTTTTCGAAAACACCACAGACACAACCAGCTCGCATACTCCGACCCCGCGCCCTCGTCTGCTCTTATATCTTGCTGAACACGCCTTCTCAGCTTGTGCGGGCATATTGCGCAAGCATTGAAGCGAAGGGATGATAGGATATCGTCACCACGTAAGCCGAGACGTAACGTTCCAGGCATTGTTTCTCCTACGTCAGCCGGTCAGATGGAAACAGGAAATGACTGGTTTGACTGCTCTCCACATGATTCGCTACCATGCCCTCGGGGTGGAGAACGCAATCTTGCCGGGGTCGACGTCGGTGGCTCCAGAGCACCCACGAGGAACCCGAAAGTTGGGCGGTCCTTCCCCGGGGGTTGGCGTGTGACCAGCGACAACAGCGCGACGTTCCCACCGGTGGCAGACGGTCGTAGCCGAAAGAGAGGCCACGATCAGGCACAAGAGCAGAGGGATGAACGTGAGGCTGTATCGTCATCGTACCTCGCGGCGGCGATCGGGTGCCCTTGTATTCCTGCAGCAGCCGTGGGCGCAGTGGGCAGCAAAGAGGAAACTGGCCGGTTGCCACCGGATACTGATCAACGGCATCGACATGGTGAACAACCAAGCTACAATCCCATGGACAATCAATTTCGAGAGGGTTTGGAATTGGGACAAACCAGATTTAGACAGGCAGCCCGGATGGTGTGAATACCTCGAAGCAAAAGTTGCCCAAACGCTTGACGTGTTGAGTTTGGTGCTGCCCGCGTACATCTGCTGACCCAAGCCTTCGGATGAAATGCACGGAAGATCGAATCTCGGGCTCATCAGACTGAAATGCAGGGGCTCACCAATCCGGATTCGCCGCGCAAAGCAAATGTTGTGTAGTACGGCGTATTATTTACACTGTAACTTTCGCATTAGTTTTTCGTCGGTTGAATTTTGTACCAACAAACGAAAAAATTCCTCCCGGGAACATGCCTTCAAGTCTTCACGCGGGACGGCGTCAAAGTCGGGATTCTTCAGTCAGATCAACCAAAAACCGACAGTAGACCGCAGCCCATCGGTCGCCATGTTATCCTCGTATACCGACTAACACGTCAAAAAGCACGTCTGTCTACGTATTACAAAGCATACCATCCTACCTTTAACAACTAAGAAACCAGCACACGTCTACAGCTTGTGTATGTACGGGACATAGCCCTGTTGCGTGATGAGAGCAACACTTGCACCCCCGACATCAAAGGATACCACAGAATACCAAGAGCAAATGCGTGCGTGCAGCACAACCACAGCTCAAGCACAGCTTGTAGACACAGCAATCGTGGACGCAAACAAGGCAGTGTCGAAACATACGGTACACCCAAGCACTCCAGTCTTGAAGCTAAGCAGCATCACACCATCCCTGTTCTCTGTTATACCACAGCATCACACACCGATCGCAACGGGAACGGAATTAAATACGAAACGCAGTTGCCTGCCCCGAGCAGTTCAAAACCAACCAACAACAATCCGCGCAGGAAGGCACTAGTTTTTTTTAGCGTGGCAAGGCATGGGATCTGCAACCAACCAACTCCCCCCAACAGCAACAAAACTTCGCGAGGCACAAGCGTACAAGCTACGCCGCAGGCCCCTGGCTACTTCTTTAGACTTGCACTAAAAGGTTCGACAAATATCCCTTCCAAAGGGATGTGCTTCGAACGCGCATGTCGTCAAAACCCACGCCACGCGAATTCCTATCCAGCCTGGTACGGCGGATAGACATGAACCAAAACAGAAAACGACGTCATATAGGGGATCGGACCACTTACCAAACTACAACCGAACAGACGCCCCCGTCCACTCTTAACCCCCTGTCCCTCACCGTAGCTCAAAAGGACTCAACCACCGGGAGATTGCCTTCGGAAGGCGATAGCGTCACACACAAGCCCGGCGGGTAAGGTACACCAGGCCACTGCTTCTTTCCTTGCTCCACAACTGTTGGTGAAAGTCGCGAATTGTGAAGAGTGCAGGATGGAACACCGCAACCCTGCTACTTGTAGAAAAGGAGAAGATCAAGCCACGTACTCTTAAAACAAATCAGAAATCTACGGGACGGGATGTTACAAAATGCTTTCTATGGAAACGGACTCACGAAGTGACGAATGGGGGCACTTACAAGCCTCCATCCACCTACCTGCAAGGAAATGGGCACAGGAAGGCACAAGAGTTCCAACAATAATTTCGCGCGGGCCCGTAACCCTTCATGAGACTCGCCGGACACCTCAACGTGTTGGCGCTTGATTCTGCTGTACGAGCGGCCACAAGTTGGATCCTCCGCGTCTCAACTTCGTAGGTATGCGACGTCCAATGACCGCACGCCGCCATGGCAAATGCATGGGTTCGCCCCCCACGTATGTGCATCAGCCGCCAACTAATGCCGCCGAAACAAGTAGCACAAAACGCGTGCGACCCAGCGACAGCTAAGGCACCGTCGGGCTTACATGTATTCAGCCAGCAGGGAGGCAAACAGCGCTCAAGATGACGGTTCTTTGTTTCCCATCCTCTCCTCGCGCTTCTCGCGGATCCGATCCATCCGCGCCTGGTGCCTGTTCAACGCGATCTGTGCCCTCGAAAGCTGCTCACCGTCGCCGCCGCTCGCCTTCCTCTGACCGACGCCGGAACCCCCGCCGGTGCTCGCGCCCGGCGTTACCGCCGATGACCCTCTACCGCCGCTTGCCCCCGAAACGCTGCCTCGGGACTTCTCACCCAGCCATCCCTTCCTACCGCCGACACCGGTAATCGACCTGGCAGAGCTTGGCGCTCCTACGCCGCTACCGCCGCCCTGAGCCCCTACGCCGCTAGCACCGCCCTGAGCGGGGGACAGTGGTTGCACCGAACTTCTCCTGCTGGATACAGAACCGGCGGCGGCGGCGGCGGCCGCGGGGCCCACCGGCCCGGACAGCGAGCTCCGTGTGCGCGGGGTCTTAGGTTTCGTGGTGGGCCTTCCCGAAACGGCGAAGGAGCTGGGGCGGGCAAGCCGCGATTGGGAAGGGGATGGGGGGACTGTTTCTCGAGAGGAGCCGGACCCAAACCCCCGCGGGGTCGAAGTTGACCTTGGGGTTACGCCTGGAGTCGGGGGGAAAGGGAGAGCGCAATGAATTCATGGCGATTCTGGGCGCTTGATGAAACCACGCAGGATGTAGCCTGCCCGCCCGGTCATGGCCACCCCGCTAGCGGTTTCCCCGCTGCGCGCGTACCTGCGCCTCGAAATGAAACTTGCGCATGGTGGCACACTCCATGAACCGGCGCGGCAGAAAACACTAACGCAGAAGGCATCAGAAAACAAACCTCCGTCACCTTGACGCAACGGGCATATACATTCACATACCGGCACAGCAGTCACGACTCACGCAACCGACTCCTGAAAATCTCCAACTCAACCCCCAGCGAACGCGCCAAATCAAGCAGTGGAGTATGTATTAGAGCTGATCCACTGGGCCTCACCTGTTGATGGTCGCCGTGAAGCCGAGCGTGGCGTGGACCCGCTCCGATTTTCCTCTAACGCCGAGGGAACGCTCAGCTTCAGGCGCGACGTCGACGAAGCCGTGCCCTTCATCAGGGTCGAGCCCGCGCCGCTTCCGCGAGCCGTCCTCCCGGACGTCTTGCCATCGCCACCCGTGCCACCGCCTTTCCCGCCGCCGCTGCCGCTGGCGGTCTTCGGCAGGGGCTTCGCGAAACCGTTGTCACCCGCCTCGCCAGCGGCAGCAGCCTTCCCCTTGATCGGCACTGGCACCGCGAACACTGCCGTGGCTCGAGCGATGGCGTCGGCCACATCATCCGCCCCGCTAGAGCCCGCCGCACCTCCATGTGCCGCTGCTGCTTCGCCTCCACCGTTTTGTCCTTGGGCACTACCCGCCGTGGCTTCCTTCGCCGCCGCCGCCGCCGCAGCAGCAGCAGTAGCGGAAGCCCCCCCGTTCGCTACGGCCGCCTTCTTCGCGCTGCTGCCCGCAGCGGCGTCGTCGCTCACGCCCGCCGCTGCCGCTGCGGCGAAGACACTTCCCGTGCGCTCCTCTCTTGCCGCCCCGGCCCTTGCTGACGAGGGTGGTGGCTGCTCGCTGGTGGACGAGCCTGTGCTGCTCCTGGCGGTGACCACGTCGGAGCTGCTGCTGACTGACATGGAAGTGTCGGCGAGGCCCGGGGAGACGGTCAGGAAAGGAGCGTCCTCTCCCCCGGAAGAAGGAGGCCTCCTCCCTGGCGTGCTCTGCTTGTGGCGGTTGTACCTGTAGCAACCACCGGGTGCGGGGGGGTTGTTGTCTTCACATGGCAAAAAAAGTACCGGTCTCCGCTCAGTACAACCTAGTGTCCGCAACTGGTCCAACGAGGTGAAACGTTTTTTGAGGGAAAAAAAAATATTTGAAGTTGCGTGACGGACAAATTAGGCGTGATGTTGTTTGTTAGTTGTCCACACGCTACCTGTAGCAACCACCCAGCGGGGATCAAGACATTACGAATAGCGAAACTCATACTAGATGCTGCGTGACGGATACAGTAGAGCAACGGCCTGCCGATGTTCCTTGTTGATTGTCCACACGCATCTTAAGTGCAGATAGATATCCATGCATATGAAAGGAGACGCCGAGGAACAAAAAGAAATTGGCAGCCACAGCAAACAATGGTGTGTGGCATGGCGGGGGTGCAACCGGTGAAACACGTCTCAAGGTGCCCCGCTGCCTACAAGAGTTCGCTGGCTTACGTCCCGGCGCCCCAACCGAGACAAACGCTTTACCTCTTGCCACACATGCAACTCCCTCCGATATCACAGGCATTAAAGCAAGCACGTCAGGTACAATGGATGGCAGAACTTTGTTCCGGCTGGCACCACTGATATCTCAGGCTCCAATAATCCAAGTCCAGGGTATCATGCAGCAGTGTCTGTCCCTCAACTCTCACTGCTGCCAAGACCTGTTATTACCCTTCGGACGGCGTAAAATCTCGAATGGGTCTTGACGTTGTGGTCTGCAGTACAACGAAGACGGCTTTAAATTCGAATGTACATACATGCGTTTGGTTCGATGAGGTTCGCCGGTGCCTCCGAGTTCAAAACACGTCAGCTGTGTGAGCTGTTGAGCTGGGGAAAGGTCACAGCCGGAAGCTGGCTTGTGCTGGTCCTGGTGCCTGCTCTCATCATCATCTTGCATCACCCCTGTAGTAGCACAATACTCTCACGACCCCACTCTGGACATCACTTGTATTTCGACAAAAATCGCTCTCTCACCGATACTTGGCCTCTGAAAGTTTCCTGGAAGGGGTGTGAGGCGACCCCTTCCCAGGGGCCAGAATGCCACTGTCCCCGCCCTTGGGCTTGAACCCGAAGGACGCGCCGCCGGCGCCGGTGCCGCCGCGGCCGCCGCCGACATTTATGCGCCGTTCGGCGTTCTTAGCGTCCGCCACCGCCTTTCTGAGCTCCGCCTTGAGTTCTCCCACCTCCTCCTGCGAAAAACAACAAAAAAAACGGGAGTGGTTCAATACCGCGTGCGGAGGGTCCGAGCCACCTGCGCGGGGGCGCGGGAACGGCTTCCAAGGGCAGCCGACCGATCTTGAGCATTCGCTCGGCCCTTGACCTCAACAGCCATCGGCTGCCATCCGGGATGGCTGGGTTTAAGTCGGGATGATAAGGACAGCGAAAAGGTATTCTTCAGGTTTCACCCCAAAAGTCCGAATGTCGTGTAAGGGTCAAGCCTCGCCCATCGGAGGGTGGCGGGAGGGGGGGTACACGTCAACAAAGGCGGCCACACGTAGCCCGGCAAGCAATGAACGCAAGAGAAGCAAGAGCGACAGTCAGGGAGACGAGACCGGCCTGTGCTAAATAAACGCTGGCAGCGATGGTGGCCCGCAAGAGGGCCCGCAAGTTGCGCAACTCGTGCTCAGGGGCGTCCTCATGTTTCGCATGCTGGAGTGGTTACACTGGTGACCACGCGTCCTCGAGCGGACGGAGCATTGTTCCCACAGGACCACCGATGACCAATCGGTCCTTCATACTTTCCCGAACGTGGCAACATCATCCGTGCTAGGGGGGGGAGGTGTACTCATAGTAGTGCATGGCGTAGTCGTTAGACCATTGACCTCGCATCCCTACAAAGCCCGGACGGAGCACGCCGGGTTCTCACCGGACCAGGCTCTCACATCACCAAGC